GTGTATATTGTGTCCAGTGTGTACATTGTATCCAGTGTGTGTACAGACTGTCCCGTGTGTACATTCTGTACAGTGTGTACAGACTGTCCAGTGTGTACATTCTGCCCAGTGTGTTCATTCTGTCCAGTGTGTATATTGTTTCCAGTGTGTACATTCTGTCCAGTGTGTATAGTCTGTCCAGTATGTGCAGATTGTCTAGTGTATATAGACTGTCCAGTGTTTACATTCTGTCTAGTGTGTACATTCTTTCCAGTGTGTACATTGTGTCCAGTGTGTATAATGTGTCCGGTGTGTACATTCTGTCCATTGTTTGCATTCTGTCCAGTATGTACATTCTGTCCAGTGTGTGTACCGACTGTCCAGTGTGTACATTTAGTCCAGTGTGTACAGACTGTCCATTGTGTATATTCTGTCCAGTGTGTACACACTGTCCAGTGTGTTCATTATGTCCAGTGTGTACAGACTGTTCAGTGTTTACATTCTACCCAGTGTGTACAGACTGACCAGTGTGTAGAGAGTGTCCAGTGTGTACTGACTGTCCAGTGTACATTGTGTCCAATGTCTACAGACTTTCCAGTGTGTGCATTCTGTCCAGTGTGTACAGACTGCCAATGTGTACAGAGTGTGCAGTGTGTACAGACAGTCCAATGTGTACAGAGTGTCCAGTGTATACAGACTGTCCAGTGTGTACATTCTGTCCAGTGTGTACAGACTCTCCAGTGTGTCTATTCTGTCGAGTGTGTATATTGTGTCCAGTGTGTACAATGTTTCCAGTGAGTACAGAGTGTCCAGTGTGTCTACAGAATGTCCAGTGTGTACATTCTGTTCAGTGTGTCCAGACTTTCCAGTGTGTACAGACTATCCAGTGTGTACAGAGTGACCAGTGTGTTTACAGACTGTCCAGTTTGTCCATTCTGTCCAGTGTGTACTTTCTGTCCAGTGTGTACATTCTGCCAGTGTGTGTCCAGACTGTCCAATGTGTACATTCTGTCCAGAGTGCACAGAATGTCCAGTGTGTGTACAGACTGTCCAGTGAGTACAGACTGTTCAGTGTGTGTTCAGACTTTCCGGTGTGTACATTCTGTCCCATGTGTACAGAGTGTCCAGTGTGTACAGAGTGTCTAGTGTGTACAGACTGTCCAGTGTGTACATTCTGTCCAGTGTGTACAGACTGTCCAGTGTGTAAATTGTATCCAGTGTGTACAGCCTGTCCTGTTTGTCCCTTCTGTCCAGTGTGTTATTTTGTCCAGTATGTACATTCTTTCCAGTGTGTGTACAGACTGTTCAGTGTGTACATACTGTTTAGTGTATACATTCTGTTCAGTGTGTACAGACTGTCCAGTGTGTACATTTTGTCCATTGTGTGTACATTCTGTCCAGTGTGTACATTCCGTTCAGTGTTTGTACGGACTGTCCAGTGTTTACAGACTGTCCAGCGTGTACATTCTGTCCAGTGTGTATATTGTGTCCAGTTTGTCCATTGTGTACAGTGTGTACTGTCTTTTAAACTTTAACTTTTGGTTTGATATTTTATGGCACCTGTTCTTTCTCTCTGTTTTACAGCTTGTGGCACCACTTTCACTTTTTTTTACAGGTTTGCTAACCCTCCTAACTTATCCTAACTTATCCTAAGGTATCCTATCTTTCCTATCCTATCTTATCTTAATTCATCCTACCATATCCTAACTTATCTTAACTTATCCTACCTTATCCTATTTTATCTTATCCTAATTTATCCTATCTTTCCCTGCTCACTCTCTATTTACAAAGGAGAACAGACTACCAGTTTTTTGTTGTGGTTACTTTAACCCCGCTCTTGAAGCAGTCTTCCCCTTTACCTGGGAACTTACCAGTGCACTACCCTGTCTGCACCAAGTTCTGAGTCCAGAGGAGAGGTTGTGTCCACGTACGCCACTTGCTGTTCCCCGTACGGGCCACCAATTGTTGCGTCCGCCTCACCAGCAAGGAAGACACAACACCGGACTCTTCTAACTGCGATTTTATTCAGCACCTTTGAACAACTTTCTCACCCTCTCTCTGTGGGGCAAAGCCAGTCTACAGCTTAAATAACCTCTGGGTAGTCAACCCCAGCAAGCCACATGGGAAATGCAGATAGGTTAAGAAACGCGGAAGCAAGCCAGATTCTTAGCATTAACCATATATGGAGTTGTTCACAGCTGAGAGCATTCACTGTTAGGAAGGTGGAAGGTGGAAACCAGCGCCACCTTTAAGGCGTGGCATCACACAGCTCTCTACAGTACATCTCTGACATAATCAAGAAAGGAAATACACACTGTGCTTCCCTGACAGCCCAGGGCTTCCTATGGTTCATTCTGACAGACCTGTCCATTCTGGAAGCAAAAGACACTGGGAGCATTCACCCAGGGTATTAAAGACTAGGAGGCAGGAGGAATATACAAGAGAAACCACAGGATCAAAGTGCATGCTGCAAGGTGACAAGGTGAACGTCCCTAGCTATTCTTTCCAGGAACAGAGGCCTGCAAGGCCATCATCCTTTTGTGGGATTATCTGTCTGTCTTTCTACTCAAAAGATGCCTTTAATCCTAGTACTCAGGAGGCAGAAGAAGGTGGATTTCTCTGATTTTACGGCCAGCCTGGTCCACAGAGCAAGTTCTAGGACAGCCAGGGCATTTACACAGAGAAACCCTGTCTCAGAAAAACAAGCAAGAAACAAGCAAAAGAAGGAAGGAAGGAAGGAGGAGGGGAAGGAGCAGAGAAAGAGAGAGGGAGAGGAAGGGAGGGAGAGAGAGAGAGAGAGAGAGAGAGAGAGAGAGAGAGAGAGAGAGAG